CACAAACATATATGTTTGATTAAAAAAAAAACATATATAGGCAGCTATGGGCTTCGGGTTTCAGGTGTGTGGGCGGGTTATTGGGCCGAGTATTTGGACAGATCTTCGAGCTGGGTAATGGGTTTTAGGGGTAAACCCAAGCCCTGTCATAAAAGCTATTAGACTCCGGCTCGGGCGGACCAATTATCGGGCTTCAGGCCTATTTTTTTTGAGTTGAGTAGCAGGACCCGTGGGTAATGCAGCCCATGGACACCCAAGCTTGCTTGTACAAATCTAGTACTATGTTTTGCAAATTTACTCATCAACTAGGCTTATTTATATTAGTTCAATACTATTTTTTGTCCTGATACCACTTTCACAATTCCACATATTTAAAATATATCCTCACACCTTATGTAATAAAAAACAAATAGAAGACTCAAAAATGATTTAAATGGAAGATATTTGATATCATAATATCCAGAAATTATAAATTCAAGATCCAATTGATCCAACAATGTGCATGATTTTGAGGTGGTATGCATGTCTACAACTTGGATTAGCTAGAAATTTTTTACCAATTTTGAAAAAACAATTCAAGTGGCCCAAAGTTCTTACAAAGATTGATCTTTTCTACTCATAAATATTCAAAAAATTTCAGCTGATGGGAAGCTAATTTCGACTAATATGTTGCTAAATTGTTTGCTGAATGTCAGCGTAATTTTGTTTAGAGTTAAAATTAATGTTCAAGGTAAGTTTCCATGTTCATGGATAATGTGTCTCACAAATCTGTCATTTTAACCAAATCATTTCGAAATCACACAATAGATTTCTATTTTGTTATTGAAAATTGAAGCTTATCCCTCAATGTCAAATCACGCAATAACTTTACATTGACGCAATGAAATATAAAACATGTTCTCCATACGTTTACTTTAAAATTAATGTCAAAGCCCAAGTAATTAGAGATATGACAAGATGAAAAATAATTAATTCATCAATATTTATGTAAAAATACAATAAGATTCATTAATATATAAATTTGTTTGAATAAACAAAAATGATGATAGAAATGTATAATTTATCTATCTTTATTTTGTTTTATTCTTATCCAAACTTTTTTAACAATAAAATACATAACAATTAATCCTAGGTGTACATTGATACCTATTTATATTTTTCAACTTTAAGAATACAAATTGAAATTCGAATTATCTTCCAAGGTATAAGTTAGCCTTAAATAAAATGTAGATCAAGTATTTTTGTTCATATTTAAGTATTGGATAATTTTGTGTACCAAAATTTACACTAAATCAGATGCAATCGTTGGATCACTAATGAAACCCACTGATTCAACGACTGCAACTAATTTAATGTAAATTTTAGTATATAGTTTTTGTGCACATAGTATTATTATTCATCATAGATATTATGTGAAAAATTTATAATAAAAAAATTATTAATAATTTAGATGTTATTTAATTGATGTATCTTATAAAAATATATTCAATAATTCACTAACTAAAATAATACAATTAAAGTATTAATGGTTAAAATGAACACTTTTTATATTTTGCAGACTTTCAAATGCCTAAGACCCTCTTTCAAGAAATACTAAAAAAAGATTAGTCTATGACTACAAATTTGAAATAAATAAAATAGTGTTATGGAATAAGTTAAAATTAAGGGTTGACAAAGACTTCCTGCTAACCCAACCCGAGGAGACTAAAGAAAGATTTATATATTTATATCTATGAGCAAGGCAGCCGGAAGAAAGCTTTTAGCATGTTAAACGCGTCAGCTGGACTGACATGTTTAAAGAAACGACTGTCCAACTGTCGTTTTATAAGTTCACTGTGTTAAAAAAAAAAAAACAGGATTGAAAACGTAAGATAAATTGACATTTTTAAAAATTACCTGTGTTTGGAAATATTTTCAAACCCGCCATGTTTTGAAATTTTTTTTTTAAAAAACACGTGAGTTGGGTCAAAAGCTCATCACTTTTAACACAAAAAAAAGATTATCTATATCCTATCTCAGATACAACCCTTTACAAGTTGAACTAATGTTCTCAAACAGAAGGAATCCCTCATTCCTTCTGCTTAATAGAAATTTGGAAGACTTTTCATACTCTGATTTTTGCGCACTGAGCAAACTCAGATCATCGTAGTATGTAGGCAATATGAGCAATCAAAATGCAAAGAACTCGAAGTTCTTTCTGTGAAACTAAAATCATCTATTACATGCAGATGTTATAGCTTAAAAGCAAAGCATATTATCCAGCGCAACAGAGCACACCTTCAAGTTTAAAAACATATCCATAAACATAAACAAAGCCTAATTCCACTGTACTCCCTATTTTCCATAAGAAACTACCCTGATTTTACTGACCTCGAGTCATCAACTCCTACTTCTTAACCTTCTTCGGCGCTGGCCTTGAAGATTTAACCGACTTTGGGACTGGCTTCCTCTTCATGGGTGTCGAAGCCTTCTTCGTACCCACAGGACTCTTCACGTCCTTTTTGGCCTTAGTTGCACTTGATTTCTTCTTCTTCAAAGCATCAGGAGTTTTAACCTGGCTCAACCTTTTTGTCTTCAACTCCTGTTTTGCAGGCTTTTTAGGGACAGTACCCCCTGTAGTAGAAACCTTCTTTCCATCTTTCTTTTTCTGGGTTTCTTTGGCAGAAACAGAAACCACTTTCACCATCTCGGAAGTAGAGACCTTGTAGGAGTTCTTGACCTTAACTAATTTCTCAGATTTCACGAACTTCTTCAACTGAACAGACAACATCTTCTTGAAATTCGGAGGAAGCTGCTTCGGGTACTTCTCTTCAACGAATTTGGCAATAGCCGGCTGGCTCGAACCGGTCCGATCCTTCAACGATGTTATGGCTTCGGTTATCATCTGAAAATAAACGTGAACTGGAATTAATAAAACATAAACATGACAAAATTAGACAATTGACAAAGATGAAAAGAACAGAGCACCTGAAAGTAAGGTGGATGGAGGGTTGCTGAAGATGCATTACTTGGCTTTTTGGTGAGCTTCTTTGCAAGAGCCATGGATGCGTCAGCCTTCAGCGAACTGATGAAAGAATTCTCGTAATTGAAATGGCGGAGAGAGATTGAGAGGGAAAATGGAATGGATAGTGTGCGGGACACTGTTTATAAAGGAGTTTGAAGTCTTAAAATTGAAATTTGAAAGCACTTTTTTGGCGGAATGAGTTTTTTTGTTTGGGGGGTCTTTTCTTGGTTACATGGAGCTTATTCATTGGTGAATCTAATTGGTGGAGGATCGTCACACGTGGGTCCGGATGTGACCGTCCTTGTCAGTTGGCGTTAAATCATCCAACGGCTGCTGCTTTCTACGGGTGCGAATAGGATCGTGGGTTCGTGGACCATACCGAGAGATGCATTCGGACACTTACGACCACATGTATATATGGAGAGCACAAGTTTTGGACCCATGGATGCAAAACGAGCCAGGCCCAATAATCAGACGATTCACTTTTTTGGGTCCATTAAGAACATCTCTAACAATTGAAATTAGTTTAACTATTTAAAAAATAATATTTTCTATTTTAGTTACTTGTTTTTTCAATACACATTTCAACAAATTTTTTATATTTTTTACTTCTTCCTTTTATTATTATTTCTCGTTCCTTTTGTATTATTTTTCTTTGAAAATAGCGAAATAGAGAGAGAGAGAATGGAGAAAAAGAATGGAGATAAAATATTATAAAAAATGTACACATATTGTTATAGGCATACTCAAAATATAAAATATCATTGTAACAAAATGCTATTTTACATGTTTTGGAGATATTCTATAGGAGTGAAATTTTAGGAAAAAATAACTAAATTTTGAAATTTTTGAGTCCTTTACCTACTCTCTTAGAGATGCTTTAATTAATTAATCCTCCGCATTCGATTTTTTTTTTTTTTAAGAAAAGCGTTTAATTAAAAAACAATGATTTGTACAAAAACATGCCACAAAAAAAAAAAGAAATTCATAATCTCAAGACATTTTAAAAACGATATGACCTTTGAATATGACAAATAATCGAGTTTAACTTGTTAAGCCTTTTTTTTTTAAATAAGTTTAAAAAATTATTAAAATTTGTCTTATTTATAAAATGAGTCAAGTCTAAGCTGAGTTTAAAATGAGCTGAATCTGAATAGTTTGATTATTTTATATATAAATAAACTATATTTTGCAAATTTAAAATAATTTTTGCTAATTCGAGTCAACTCTTTTAAATTCATGGTCTAAACTAACTTATTCGACAGGCAAAAGACGGCGCTTTTTAGGCCAATTTTGATCAAGAATGGGTAATGATCTTTTTTGAGTCAGGGGAGGCGCTCGACTAGCATATTAAAAAAGATGGACAGTCATTTGCTGTTTTCCAAAACTCTATCTGGTCAACACCAGATAGCTAAAGTCTACTAAGTTTACCTTATTTAAAATATAAGTCAAATTCGAACTTAAATTAAGTCGTATTCGAACTATGTTTAAATAATTTGACTTAATTATCAACTCTATTTTTAAGCCCTTTACCTCTAAACCATCACTAATAGACTTTTAATTTAATAATACTCTATCTTTTTTATGTCAAAAATTCAAACTACTTTCCCCTTCTCCCCCTCTATCCCCAAAAAAACAAAAAAAAAAGTGTAAAGAGTAATGTTATGCTTACCAAATTTTAAAACTAAAATTAGAATTCAATGATATAGTAACATATTATTTAGAATTTTTATTGGAACCCAAATGACATGATATTAAATAAATAAGCACATGTCAGCTGTCATGTCATTTAAACTCCAAATTTAATCTCAAAATTTGATCAGTGCAACATTACTGGTAAAGATAAGGTGTAATACTATAATTGTGAAGGATAAATAAACATAAAAAAAAACACTCACGTAAAGCTTTCATATTACACCGTTAATGATCACACATGACATTCTTCCCAATCTAGAAGATGAAAAAAAAAAGGGCAATTAAAAAAATTACTTGGCACTTGCATACATTTTTTTGGGTAAGTAACTTCCATATATGCATAATAATCTTTCAAAAAAAAAAAAAGAAAAAAAGATTTACAGGACACGGAATCACCATTTCTCACCACGAAGCAATCTCAGAACTCTGCCGTGTGGAGAATCGGGATCACCCCTCATTACGTTCTGTCTCCATATCTCAACAGCTCTCCTAAGCGCCTCCTCAGCCGTATCAAGCTGCTCCGGCCTCCATCGAATCACACCTCCTCCAGCTTCCCCAATCCCATAGCTTTCCACAGTTCCATCAGTAGCCCTTGTAATCGGCTTCCTGGTATCGACAACCTCCACCGCAGACAAAGGCGACGCCTTATGGTGCTTGAAATATTCTTTATCGTCTTCTTCTTGTTTCCTTATGTCCTCTGGCCATGGCGTGCCGTCCAAACCTGCGCAACTTATATCTTCGACTGGCGTTGTAGTTGCACCGGTGGAATTCCAGTGTGCTTGTTGCGTGTTGGTGGGGTGTGCAGTACCTGTACTACGAAAGGGTGAGACAAAGGTAGAGGCAAGCCTTCTTGGCCGAAATTGTTCCAACAACAGTTGATTAAACCTTGTTGTGGTGCAAGCTAATCTGTACTGCATCGTTTTTGCGCTTTCTCCTCTATCGTATATTGATTCCGTGAACTTCAGATTCTTTGCTGGTGTTGTCGGAAACGAAGCAAACTGCAGGCATTTATGGAGGAGGAATGAGACCGTTGAGCTTATGTTGAAAGCAGACTTTGCAGTTGTTTCTAGAGCTTGCTAGACTTTCCTTTTGTGTGAATTGTGATGTCATGTGTGTGACTGGAGTCGTCTAGAAGAATGACGAGTGTGTTAGACTTAAGGGTGTGTTTGTTTGTGAGATTGTTATTTATGGATTGACTATTGCATTTCATATATTTTTAATGAAAAATATTATTTAGACTTTATTTGGAGAACTTATTTATAGACTTAATGATATACAACTATTAGATTGGTTATAGACTCTGTCTAATATTGAAACTCACAATTAATTCAATAATTGTATTAAAATCACATCATTAAATTCCTAAATAAAATCCTCAAATAAAGTTTTTATATCATTTCTCATTTTAATAAACAAGAAAGTTAATATCGGTAATAAAAATAAATGCAATCATATTAAATGTTTATTTGAACAATATGTTTTATTATAAGACTCACAAAAAAAAAATCTATTCTGTCACATTTAATATAACAAATAGACTTATTTATCCCTAATACCATCTTAGGGATATATGAAAAGAGGTTTTATAGTTATTTAGCTCCCTTATACCGTCGGTGCCTCTTCTCCCATATGGTATTAAATATATCCACGTAAATGAGTATAGCACTACTGTTTATACTAGGTCAGTATTAAGATCCAAAAATTAATACTTGACTAAAAATAATTAACAAACAAAATATATGTGATATTCATGCACTGATAAACACTATTCCACCTCTTTATATCCCACTTTATCTCCAAACAAACATACTCCAAGTATATAACATAGGACTAAAGACATCTAGCCATCCTTCGAGTATCTAGACTTGAATCTGACTTATCCCTAAGCAAACACACTCGAGTATATAACATAGGACAAAAGACATCAAGTCATCCTTCAAGTATCTGGACTTGAATCTGATTTCATTGATTATACCACACGGTTAGAATTAAGTCAGGATAGCATCCGAGTGAAATTCAATCCAATACATATTTCTTTTAGGGGGTATTTGGATACTCACGAGAGGATTGAATTAGATTAAATTTGAGTCCAAACCTAATCTAATATGATGCAAAGAAATCCGAGTTGATTCAATCCTAATGAATAGAATCTCATCTTATTTCATTTTTGGATGAAAAACATTTGTTTTGCAGCCCCATTCACAAGTGTAGATGAAAGATGGTAAAATAATTATTGCACCTTTGGTAAAAAATCTGATCCATTTCTATACTAACTTTAAATTGATATAATGTCAATCTAAAATGAGAATGATTAGGTACTTAGATTTGAATAAAATTTTGATTTAATAAATTATGTTTTTTAACAACACAAAGCCAAAAAACTATTTATAAATTTTTTAATTGAATTTTATACAACCCAATTTATCACAAAAAACATATGAATTGTCCGGTCACAAAGTACAAACTATGAAGACCTAATTCACCTTTGTCTATTTTGTAATAGGGCAGGCTATGGTACCGACAGGTCAAAATTCGGTACGGTACTGAAAAATATATGTGGTCCTTAATTTTTGTCATTAAATATTAAAAAGTTACTCATTAAAGGTGTGATAACTTTGCCAATAAAAGTTGTATAATTTTTTTTTTGATTTAGTTACATTAAATTGACATGTAATTTTATGAAATTAATTTTTAATTTTATTCAATTAACACTTAATTTATCAAAAATAACATTAAATTGACCTTCAATTGTATTAAATTAACATTCAAAATTATAAATTTAAAATTCATAAAATTAAAATTAATTCATAAAATGTTAATTAATTTATGAAATTACATGTCAATTTAATGTAATTAAACATAGGATCGAGACCAGTTCAAAAAAAAAAAGTTTCGACTAGTCGTGATTGATCCTATTTAATTGGAACCACTAGAAATTTAGTTTCGTCCCAATTTTTGGACTATCAAATGCATTAAGATCGATCTCATATAGTCATGATCGATCTTAATTGAGTAGAATCGCAAAAAAAAAAAATAATAATAATAATTTGGCATTGAAATCAATCTTAATTAATCATGTTTGGTCCTAATTGAGTGGAAAAAAAATTGGCATTGTGATCGATCTTAATTAATCATAATCGATCATGACTATTAAATATAATGTTATTACGTTCAAAGACAAAGTTTTTACTCTTGAGATAAAGTTATCATCTTTAAAGGTGAGGTACAAATTCTTTAAGTAAGATTACAATAATTAAAAGTAAAATTACAATCTTTAAAAGTGAGGTTATAATTATTTATGATAAAATTACTACATTTTGATAAGAGGTTATAAGTTATAATTAGTAAAAATAAAAGTACCACAAAAAAACGATGGCCGAGGTTACAACCTTTAGAAAAAATGGTACAATTTTTATTGGCAAAGTTATCACACATTTAATGAGTAACTTTTTAATATTTAATGGCAAAAATTGAGGACCACATTTTTTTTGGGTACCGTAGCGAATTTTGACCGGTCGGTACCATAGCCTTCCCCGCAATGTAATATTCGGTGGAAATACTGCTTTCCTCATATCCCCATCATACTTGTGGTTCATACCTATATACTTCACAATAGTGTATCACTATGATCAATTATTTTGAGATACAAAGGTTGATCATTTATTTTAGAAGTAGATTTATTTTATGTAAAGCAAAATAATTTTAAATAAACAACAAAGAAAACAAAAGACGCACATTGAGCAGCAAAAGCTTCCTCTGTTTCAAGTAAAACATTTGAACTAACACATAAAATATACTGATTCAATAACACAAAATCATTCAGTACAAATTGAGGGGGTTTGGGAAGGGAAAATGGATGGTTTGGGGGGATTTGGGTTTGGTGGTTGCGTGTGTGTGCATTTAACAGAGATAGAGGAGAGAGAAAGTGAGAGAAAAAAGGGGCTTGCTGGTGTTGGAGGTGGTGTCGTTCGCGGTGGCAGTGGGGTGACAGATATAAAATGGATGGGGCGCTGGTGTTGTTTGGTTGCTATTGTTGGTGGTACTTGGTTGAGATATATATACACAACAGAGATAGAGAGAGAGAGACAGAGACAGAGACAAGAATAAATATATATATATACACACACATACAAAGAGAGAGAGATAAAATCTTAATGTATAGGGCATTAATGTAATTACAAGCTTAATCCTGTCAATGGGCTTACTTTAGCTGGGTCAGAGGGGACAAGTGGCCTAAAAGACTACGAGCCGAAAAATTAAGCCCAACGTTTATCTTATTCATTAAATGGGATCCAAAGCTGGGTTTTGTGAAGTCCGGATATTTTTACCCAATCCAACATGTGCTATCCCACTTTATCCACCCAAACAAACACCCCTTGTAGGTAATTCACTTACCATAAACTCAAATAAACTCATTATTTATAAGTAAATTCCTCATTAATATATGATGAGTGATTGATAAGAGAAAAAAATATGTATTAAAGGAGATGTTGATCCGCATCCGAAATTAAGATTTGAGTTAGAACTATTGCTTGTGCTACATCGTCAGGACATGAGTTGGGTTAGCCATGATTAAAGAAGTAAAATGGGTTTGTCCATGTGTGTCAGGAGCACATCATCTTACCCAAAATAATCAATTAGAATCAATAGGGGCATGGTTATAATCCAGTTTTAAACTTGCAATGGCACATTGAGTTACTTGAGTCAGCTAAGCGTTTCACCCAAACTACAAACGCCAAATGTTAGTCTACTAGTGCACTAAACAAATTATTTACCCGACTACAAGTGCCATTTAATCTCCACCTTCACAGTTTCAGTTTATCCCTCTGGCCAAGCTTGTTGAAAAAGTGAGCAAGGAAAGCAAAGAAAGCACCCAAGCAGCACATAAAAAAAGACAACACAAGCACAGCCCAGTCCCAAATCCTTCTCTTTGGAAGATGACTCCTGTCAGACATGAGCAATGCCCTGTAAACCGCTTCAGTTAGAGCATAAGCTGAAATGGGATCGAATTCCTCTGCAAGGAGTCCATACTCTGTAATGCAAACAATGTCATAAACTCCAGTAGTCTCCATTATACCCAGATATTCACAAATTTTCAACCGCCCATCGATTCGGTCCTCCATTGATAACTTGTCACCATGAGTCAGTATCAAGATAGGGTCCTCATCTGCATCCACAATGATCACACATGAGTATTATCGAACATTATTATCTAGTTCTAATGATTGACTAACTTCGGTTTGATTTTGGATTAATCACGTCTAGTTAAATTACACTAGAGATCAACTGTCAATAGCAGAGCAAACGGAAGCTGAGCCTGGCAGTATGTGTTAGATCGTCTGACCCTAACTCAACCTATTTATTAAAAATGTATTCCTAGGATTGACATGCATAACTCATGGATCAAAGATCCAAATCCCTTTCTCTTTCAATTAAACTAAACACTCGAAGGCTTTTCACAAACCCAATATTCTCTTGGCCCACAAACCACTCATAAGCTACTATACAGAATAATCGAACAAGTTTTTCTTCATATTATAATATCAGCAGCCAAGTTATTTTCGTAATTAATTATAACCCGCCAATTGATTGATATATCTCTCGAAACAAAGAGAAAAGGAAATGAAAGATATAGAAAATTGTCCCTCCTAATAACAGGCAACAACTTAGAAGGGGCAAGTTGCAATTGATGAGAGTCTAATGAAGAACAACTTACTGCGTTTCCGCAATGCCGGTGAACAGAAGAGCTGTCTCAAGGCCTCCAGTGGATTGCTGTCACTTGCTTTTAGAGCTTTATAGATCTCTGCAACATTCGCCACCACCATAACATAATTCACCCTTCGATTTGCAAACTGCGAAGAAGATCTTAAGAAATTAATCCCCAATTCATCTTTACTCGATGACAAACGGTCCCCTGATCTCAAGCAGAGCTGGTTATGGTGAACTCCATCAGTTATCCATTCTGACAACTCTTCAAGACTCTCATCAACTCGATCATACTCAAACCCCCTCGTGTCGTACACACAAAATCCACTTCGCATCGACCTCAACACATTGTGCTCCTCCAAAAATAAAGTCTTCTGATTAGCAGCATTCTCTAGAGATGATTGATTAGAGAAGACCAAAAATGTCATTGGTTCTTGTTGCAAGAATAATTCTCATAAGCTTGAAAAATGCCTTACCAACCTCGCCCATTTTCAAAAAAATAAAATTACACTTTAACCCCCTAAACTATGTTCCTCATTGCATACTGCTCCTTGAACTATCCAATTTCTTATATTGAAACTTAAACTATTGGTTTGAATTTCGCATTAATAATTTATGTCCAATGTTTCATGACAAATCAAACATTGAACAGAAGTTATCACTTGGGATAATGTAAAACTCAAACTGGAGTTGAAGTTATAATGTAAGACGATGGGTAATTTCAGGGAAATATGCAGCAAAAGGCATAGTTCAAGGGGTCTGAGTACAATTTGATCAAAAAAAAAAACAATAGAGATGTTCAACCATTGGTAAACAATAGAGATGTTCAACCATGACATGAATTGAAATCCAAAGGATAAGAAGCCCTAATTTCAGACACCATTGGCTTACCTGAAGATGTTTGGGCGAAGGGGATGAGTCCAGACCGTCCAAGGACACTGTACATCAAGTTCACGAGCGAGCTCTTGCCAGAATTATGGAAACCTACTAACAGTAAAGTGACAACCGGAGGAATGTCCATCTCTTCCTTCCTAATTCCCCCGGTGGGCATCCAGAAATCCCCAGAACGGTACGCGAGAAGCTTGTGCCGAAGCTCGTCGAGACCTTCGGGTGCAATCAAGGCCAGCCGCTCCATTTCTCTGAGAACTTTGATTCTGGGTGTGATCTTTGACAGGTTCGGCATCTCCAACTTGAACTTTGCCAGTTCCTCGAACTTTGCCGCCGATCTCCACCAACACCACGCTGCCTCCGACGAATTATGCTCGTCTTCGTCCGCAATCGGTAGTTGATCTTTCATGTCTACCTTTGAAAATTATGATGTTTATGTTGAAATGGTGGCAAACTGTTTGAGATGTATAATCATTTGGTCAAGTCTTACTGTTTTTGATGATTTTGCCGGGGAAGATGGGGACAAAAGAGTCCTTTCCGTCGGTTGTCCATGTGACTAGCATCTTGCTCATCAACAGAGCGACCATCGTCGATCGTCGGGCAGTGAAAGAAGTTTCCAAGAACCTTCTTGGCTCAGTACTGTATTTTGTATTTGTACTCTGCAATAATTTTTTTTTTTTTGAACTGTTCTCTGCAATAATTGGAAATACCCTTTTGCAAACGTTCACACAACTAATAACCCAAAATAGCTCGAGTGGAAACCACGAACAACTTGGGTTATATTCAAAAACGAGGTATAAATTTATACGTCGTAAATTCAAATTTTAAAAACCCTTAATATTAGGCTTTTAAATTCCTCAGGGCCAAGCTCCTAAATATTCTTAATCACAACATAGATAATTTATCTTCGATCAAACTGAAAAAAATCTATATAATAAAGTACAATACAATTCAAATTTCAAAAGATAAACAAAATGACTTTTATTTTTTGTGACTGAGATCTTTTTAAATTTTATTTTAAAATTAATTTAATGACTAATATTAATATCTTAAATTTAATAAAAAAATAATCTTTAAAGGTATGTATGGAGTGACTTTTTAAAAGTACTTCAAAAATTTATATGATGGTCGCCACTCACCACCATCATATTATTGTCCACCATCACCCATCGTTAACGACCACTATCACCAACCCCCACAACATTTACCATCATTGTCATTCGCCATCACGCATCATACTGTTGTCCAGAAACATCTATCGTCGCCCACGACCGCCACCACTAGTGACGTCGCCCCACCACGATCACGATGACCGGTAACAACTATCATCGTCGCCCACTCACACCACCACCACCACCACCGTCACCCATGACTGTCACTATTACCATCACCGTTGTCATCCACAACTACCAACACCACCACAATTATTGTCTCCCATCATAACCATCACCGTCTCTTACTACCACACTGTCACCCATCATCTCTCACCCCAATTACAATCGATGATTAAATTCATTTCTTTCCTCTATGATTGTGATTGTGATTGTAATTTAATTTTAGACATGAATACAAATATATTTATTATTGACTTTTTTTATTACTCTGTGCCTTCAAGCCACATATAATAACTAGTATAAAAATAAACTGAGTCAATACCATTAAGCACCCTTCACCGTTTTAAAAAAAAAAAAAATTACAGTTGATTCATCCAAATCTCCTAATGTCTACCACAAGCTGAATCAATGTGACGGCTCAGTTCATAAAATCGAATAACGTTAATTAGAGGCAATAATACATGCATGCTCATTAATAAATTTGCTTTCCACCATGAAAGCAGACTCACTGTCACCAAATAAATGAAGGGAAATTTCCTCCCTTCGTCCACCAATGAATGATATAAAAGGACAGGATATTTACTAGTCCAGATTCCAAATGTTGGGATGTTTGATCTACCAGGCAGTTCAGTAGTATACTTCTCAGACAGCAACCATGGTTTTTGCAGCCAAAAAATAAAATGGAAATTCGTTTAAAACATAGTTACCAGTTTAGAATCGTTCTACAAGTACTGTCACTTCAGATCTTATAGATAAAACATACTATAAGAATTGAACACAAACAAATACTATCAAGATCACAAAATCTAGCAAAGGGCATAATTGGTTTAGAACAGTATATAATACTAACAGGTACCAATCTTTATATACTTCACAGAACAGGAGGTTTTTCAACATTAATACATAATGAACAACTTTCTTTTTCGTCTCCCTAGAATAATACATGCCCAAGGACGCAAGCCCTGTCTAACCAGAAAGACCAAAAGACAAACATCAACTATCACTCGCACAAAACTTAACCATGACCAGACCAAAAAACTTCACAAAATAACACAACATACCTGTTCCTCTATTCCTCCTTGCTATAAGCAAAACCAAGATCCAGGATAGCATGCTTTTACCGCAGCATATCCCTAATCCTTTACCCCCACAACTAGGGCACATGGAAAACAATTTAAGAAAAAAAAAAAAGGAAAAACCAAAGTACAAAATAGGGACTGAAATAAAGACTCAATCGTTTGTTCAATTCCTCCTACATAAAGATTTCAAAAAAGTGTTTACCCTTTAACATAGTTTCAGGCATCACTCAGCCCACTTTTATTCAGGCCCTGTAGATGAGCAAACATATAGCGGTGGCATCTCCTCAATTAGACTAAAACGCAGATTGAAACTTGGCCTGAAGGTGCCACGCCTTCCTGAACCCAATGGATTGGACTATGACTTTATTCCGACATGAACATATCAGCCTGCAAATATCAGACCTCAATGAGTGTAGTTGCTTAATAAAACTGACTATTACAAAATGATGGTCTCTTCAAAATCTATGGGAATGTTGTATGAGTATCCTCCTATCAGGAGCATACATGCTACACGTTGAGTACAGATCAAATGAAGGTCAATTTACAGATCACATGAAGGTCAAATTACAGATCACATGCAACTGACTTGCACATCCAGCCAAGTTAGGCCATGCAAGGAACCCACTTTTGCCACGATATAACCATTCGTAGGGTCAAAACTATAAACAAAGAAGTATTATAAAAAGCACATTACCAGATAAATAATCTCACTTTAACAACTGCTCCAAGTGGAAGTGCATTCCTTCAACTGAAACTGAATCCACCAGATGGAACTGGGACTTCATTTCCTCCAAACTGAAATCCTGATTGAGAGGCATCACCTGGCGGCAACTGCTCATCATCCTCCAACCAATACGTTTCAAGAATCTTCACTGCCTTCTCATATATTTCGTTGTTGTCATGGCTCTGAAGGTTTTCAATCTTCTCTAAACCCTCTGCTGCATCTATCAACTGGGCATAGACATTTACATCGCCTGTGTTACCCAAGTTTTTCTCAGCTTCCCCAACCTTTAGAATATTTTCAAGCCCTTCCAAGCAGACAGTAACTATCCTTGGATCAGGGCAAATTAGGAGATCACACAATGGCTTTATACAACCCTGGCTCACCAAGAACCTAACCACCAGTGAAAAAATCACACCTCAAATCAATATGTAGAAGAAAACTGTCCAGAGTAGAGAATAAATTGTTAGAAGTCAACAATACTTGATTTGCTCGTGGGTTCCACCAGATGTAGCATTTGAAATTGCCCAAGCAGCCTCTTTCTTGATCTCAAACTCAGCGCTTTGAAGGAGTTGGACAAGAGGGGCAATAATACCGGCTTCGATTACAGCCTGCAGATTACAAAACACATGCCTTGAGGTTCATTACAAAGCAATGTACAATCTAGGATAACTTAGAGCATTAGACACAAAGCCTCTAACGAATGCAACATGGACAGGTCAACAAATCCAACCCAAATATTACACACCCCAAATTAAATTCGGCCAACACTCAGGATGGGAGCATCAAGCCGATGGCCCAACCGAACCCACCCTAATAACCCAGTTTAAATAATCAGGTTCAAACTGTGTTGAACAAAATAGTACTCAGGTTTTAAACAACTTTTTGCCTCCACCTCATTTCCACTGCTCTCTGAAACCTTAAACTCCCATTGCACTAGCACTCTAGTATCAACCCAAAAAACTCATCTCATCTCTCTCGGTCACATATGCACAAGCATAAAGCAGCATTTACGGCATATATTGGCTTTGGAATCAAGGCTACACTGCCATTACATGAGCTGATTGCATTGAGTGAAACTCTAGAAGCAAGCGTTACTCCATTTTTTGGTCTCTTGGAGATAATTCTGAAGTTAAATTTATCAGAGATTCAGAATTATTCATGGAAAGGACAAACAAGACTGGGAAATAGAGATAGGGGCCACAAGTTCAAACAATAGCACACAAAACAGTTAGAGCTTTATTAGCCATGGTGGGTGGAACACAGTGCTGGAGAGGATTGCACTGGTGTGCCTATCATTGGTACAGGGATGTGTGCTGCATTTGTCCTGCCGTGTGTACAGTGTGTGTCGATATCCTTTACTACTTTTCAAGTTTCAGGTAGATAGATTAAAGATTTCGGATGATTCAAGTATCATACTCTGACAAAGTATCTATTTTCCGAGTTAGATCTATGACCAACTGATAAATCCAGTGAGTCTAAGAAATAGTGGTAACATTAGTATTTTAAAGGCAACAGGTCCGTAAGTTGAGTAACTAGGCGGCTTCAATCCAAAATTCAACCAGAAAATGGAGTATTAACTTCCAACTAGAGTATTGGTAAAATAAACTCAAATTTGATAACCCAAGTTCAAATACTTAAACATGCACAGTTCTCAGGTTGCATGTTTCGGTTTGAGCTCAGGTGCAGATTGAGCTAGAGTTGGAATTTTTATAACTTAGATTGAGCTTGAGCTGACCCTCAACCCACCCTAGTTGCGCTCTTAATGCCTCTGATATGCTCACCTGTATCTGATCCCTATTCCCTGCAGTGATGTTCGAGATAGTCCAACAAGCTTCCTTCTTGATACTCTTCTTAAAATTATTTGTCAACAGGTTCACGAGGCAAGGAAGAGCTTGATGGTTTATAATAACCTGAAAAGAATTGACAGCGTCAGATTGTCAGCTACTGAAGGCATGTTTGACATGTTCAAATCTCTGAAAAATGGCAAATCAATGCTAAGATCAAAGTCAAGCCCGGTGAAACAAGAAAGCTATGATGCAAAGCTCTCAACATCAAAATAAAGAGAGAAAACAAAAGGTAAGAGGGAGGGGAGGGGGAGGGGAGGGGGGGAATAAATCTCATATACACCTCTCCAAAACATGATGGGGAACAAAAAGCCCATATCTGAAATTGCATCCTGGCACATTATTGCAACCAATAGAAGCTGTGTTGAAGTTCACTATTGAATTCAAACATGTCCGCTTATCAAAGACAGCAAAAAAAGAAAGATCGATAGAACTGAATCAAAAAGAAGAAAAAAAAAAAAACAAAGCGTCACCAACAATTTAAACCCAATTCAACTCGACAAAACTTTATGCCCACTGTTTGGGCTTACCACATAAATTCGTAAGTACAATAAATCAGCACAAAAACAAAAAAACACAACTGAAAATGCCATCAATATGCAGATCTAGGGAGTTGTTTCGGCAATGTCATTAGCCAAATATATGCACATGTTATTTAAGTAACTTTAACAAGCGGGAAGGCTAGCTTTCCGC